ATATATAATATATATATATATATATATATTATATGTATTATTGATCTAAGTAAGTAGCATCAAGACCTAATTGCTGCATAACAGCCTTATAATGTTTAAGATTTCTCTTTAACATATCCTCTAATGGACCTAATAATCTCTTAAAAGATTTTCTTTGCATATATGCAACTTTGCATGCAGTCTTAGCTATAACTGTTGCTGCTCTTGGTTGATTCTTTAATAAGGCTAATTCACCAAAATAACTTCCTCTTTTATAATTCATTACTACTTTATTCTCTTTTATTACTTCTGCTTCTCCATCTAATAATAAATAAAATGTATCTCCTTCTTCTCCTTCCTTTATTATTACTTCTTTCTCCTCATATACACGAGTCTTTAATGCATCCGCTATCTTTGCTCTCTCATAAGCATCCACGTCCTTTAGTAACTCTACCTGTTTATATACAACATATACACATAGTAAATATTTACTTACTTAATCTACTTACCGTACTTACTTTATTCATTTTATTTACTTTATTGACCTAACGTATTTAATTCATTTACTTATTTTGTTCATTTATTTATTTGCTCTATTCTTTTTTTATTGTACAATGACACAAATATAACACATACACATATATAGACAACATATAATATATACATATTATATTTAAGTACATAAATATAATAAACGCAATAAACAAAATAAAATAAAATAATAAAATAAAAGGAATTAAATATACATACCTCCTTGAGACTATCTTCATATATTTCTCTCTTTTTTGCCGCTGCATCCCTAACAATAAGAGTAAATGTTTGTCTATCTAATGCCCATAACTTCATGTCTGTCTTGGATTTTACTGTTGCTGCTCTTGGTGAATTATACATTAATGCTAATTCACCAAATAATTCCCCTGCAACCATTACATTAACCAGCTGCTGCTGCTGCTGCTTATCTTCACTCTGCTGCTCGTTTTGCTGCACGCTCTTCTTGTCCTGCTGCTGCTGCTGTGAAGGGGATATCTTCTTATATACATTTGCTTCTCCCTCCTCTATTAAATATAATTTATCACCATCTGCTCCTTGCTCAATTATTGTCGTGTCTTTTGGTACTTTTAATTCCTTAAATGCACCTAATAATACCTCCAAGTCCTCAGCCTCTAATGACTGCAACAAATAAATACATAATAATAATATTTTATTTGCATTTTATTTACATTTAATTTACATTTTATTTGTGTTTTATTTATCTTTTATTGTTTGTTTTATTTTATTTTGTTTTTCCTTCCTTTAAATGCGTATTTATTCGTAATGAGAGTAACTGCATATATTATATACATTGTATACTATCCTATTATTATACCCAATAAATTATAATTAATCATAAATACTTATTTTTTTCCTACTATTTTTATTTTACTAAAAGGTGTAGACGTACGCTGAAAAGAAAAGAGTTCTCCACGATGTCGCGAATTCGCTGCTTTTCTTCCTCAGTCTTGGGGTAAAACTAAACAAACAGCAGCAACAGCAACAGCAAGAGCAGCAAACGATGAAACAGCAGCAGCAGCATAATATGCAGCAAAAGAAAAAAGCGGTGACGGCAGCATAGCATCAACTGCAGCAATTAAAAGACCTAAACCCTAAACACTAAACCCTAGACAATAGACGCCACACGCCAAACTCCAAACCCTAAAACCTAAACACTAGAAACCCTAAACCCTAAACCCTTGACACTTACTGGTGGTACGAAGTGTGTCTTCTTATTCCACTCTCCGTAGACTTCAGCACTCACAGACTGCCGGTTCTTCGCCTGGACCTTCGCACTAGGCTGCAGCAAACACACACTTGCTGCTGCAGCTGCTGTTGCTGCTGCTGTTGCTGCTGATCTTGGTGCTGTTGTTGTTGCTGTTGCTGGTGCTGCAGCTTACCATTGGAAGGTCATCCACAACATCGTCGTCGTCCTCGTTGCTATCGAGGTCATCCTCGGTCACTGCGCGCAGCACCAGCAGCAGCAACAGCAACAGCAGCATTAGCAGCAGCAGCTAGTTAGCCCCGTGCCCCCCTTGCTCTCTTGTCCCTCTCCTGCCCACCGCCGCCACCAGTAAAAAGAGGAAAAAGCACAGGAAGCATATAAACAAAAGAAACAGAGGAAATAAAAGATATAAAAAGGAAAAAGGAACGACCAGAAGGACGCAGGTACAAAGGACAAAAGTTGCTGCAACAACAGCAGCAGCAGTACTTGCTGCAGTTAGGTGCTGTGTGTAAGTGGATTCTGTTTTAGTCTGCAGCAGCGCCACAAGCAGCAGCAGCTGCAGCAGCAGCTGTTGCAGCAGCTGTATACATCAGCTCTTGCCGCAGCTGTTGCTGCAGCTGCTGTTGCTGCAGCAGCTGCTGCTGCAGCAGCAGTACCTGCTGCTGCTGCTGCAGCAGCGACGCACCTTGCTGCGGCGGTCTCTCTCTCTCTGTTTGGCTGTTAGGCGATTCCCTTCCCCCTACTTTACCTCGACTAGTAGAGAAAAAACATGCAAATTAAATAAAATAAGAAATAAATAAAACAATCAAAAAATAGACAGACAGAATAAAATGAAATAAACAAAATAAAAAAGTGCATGCATGCATTGGCTGCATGCATGCATTAGCTGCCCTCATGCATTAGCTGCATGCATGCATGCATGCAGCAGTAACAGCAGCAGCAGAAACAGCAACAGTAGCAAGGCAGCCGCATAAGCAGCAGGAGGGTAACAGCAGCAGGAGGACAACAGCAACAGCAGGAAGACAGCAGCAGCAGCAAATGCAAGTATGCGATTAACCCTCCGCTGTAAGCATTCACCAAATGCATTTATTCATTATTATTTAGCAAAAAGGCAAGAAGTAAAATAAAATATACAAAAGAAAAAATATAATAAAAGATCACAATTAAGACGAACAGAAAAAGAACAAAACAATGGGCGGCGGCGGGCAGGTACAAAAAACCCTAAACCCTAAACCCTAAACCCTGAAATGATGACCTCTAAACCCCTAACCCTAACCCTTAGCCCTAAACCCTAGCAGAGATTCCTCTGCCTGTCAATACACCCCGAACACTAAGCCCTAAAACAGCCGTAAACCCTAAAATCCCTAAAGCCCTAAAACCTAAACCCTAAACCCTAAACCCTAAACCCTCGACAGCGCTCACACTGCACAACCGAAGTCGGGGCAGTAGCCGCTGCTTCTTCGGGTTTGACCCAGCTGTGGGGCCGTTCGCTGTTGTTGTTGCAGTGCAGCAAGAGGTAAATAAAAAGAAGAAATAATAAAACAATAAGGTATATTTTCTTGTATAACACTAACACATACTATACATAATAATATATTTATTCATAAAAGTAATTAGAAGATAAAAAATGTAAAGTTATATTAAAATTCGCAACAACTCAATATGTCATGACACAGCAGCAGCAGCAGCAGCAGCAGCAGCAGGAAGAGCAGCAGGGGCAGCAGTTTTAGTAGCTGCAGCAGGACGCCTGCACCCCACGACGTAGGAACAATAAATGCAGCAGCAGTGACAGCAACGCCAATAAAAGCGGCAAAAACAACAGTAGCACAATCGCAACAACAGCAGCAGCAGTACCAGCAACAGTACCAGCAACAGTAGCAGCAGCAATAGCAGCAGCAGCAGCAACCTACCACTCGCAGACGTTGCCCATTGTGTGACTATGGGGGGGAGAAAACTCCAGAGTCTGAGCACCAGCAGCAGCACATCAAGACACAGAAGACAACTGCTGCTGGTGCTGCTGTTTGTGCTGCAGCAAGTTCGGGTGCTGCTGTTGCTGTTGTTGCTGCTGTTGTTGCTGCAGCATCAAGCGGAGAAGGGTGAAGACAGAAAGAACTAATCGATGTGTGGGGCGAAATTTTGTTGCTGCTGCAGCTGGTTAGGCACATGGCCAATGCTGCAGTTGCTGCTGCAGTTGCTGCTGCAATTGCCGCTGCAGTTGGTGTGGTATATTTTGCTGCTGCAATTGCTGCTGCTGCAGTGCTCAGAAGTGCTGCTGCTGCATGTTAGAAGCAAGTAGAGGCAGACGATGCAGCACGTGAGCTGAAACTATGTCTTAAAGGTGCAACCCTTCCTCTGCTCTTGCTGTTGTTGCTGTTGCTACTGTTGCTGCTGCTGTTGCTGCTGTTGCTGCACTCGAGCCGACGGTCCGCCCCAGCAGCAACAGGGGAGGGACGTCGCCGCTGCTGCTGCTGATGCTGATGCTAGTGCCTAAGGCCAGATTTATTACTGCCACAAGCATGAGTACAGTAGAAGGCTAGGAGGCAAGGAGAGCCGCAGCAGCAACAGCAGCTGCAGCAGCTGCAGCAGCAGCAACACAGGATGCAGCAACAGCAACTGCTGGCGCTCTCGCTCACCTGCTGACGGCGGCAGCAGCAGCAGAATTGACAGCAGCTGAGTTGACGTTGTTGTGAAGGCGAAGAAGAATAAGAAAGATAATGTATAAAGAGGATCTGCTGCTGCTCCTGCAGCAGCAGCAGCAGCAGCCGGAGGGGCAGTGGCAGCAGCAGCAGCAGCAGCAGCGACTGCAACAGCAGAGCAGCAGCACCGGCACCCCTGTGCGCCCCCTTAACTAATTCTTCTTCGTTTCTCTTTTAAATATTTATACAATTTTATAATGATACTAAATAAAACAGAACAACAATTGTATAGGGAAAGTTTATTCTTCTGCTGGTGCTGTGCTGCTACTGCTGCTGCTGCGCTGCTGCTGCACATCACCTTGGCCACTGGTGCAGACCGCCCGTTGCTGATGCGTCCGCTGCTGTTGACGTCTTAAATTTGAATTAATTAATTAAACAAATTAAAAAATAAAGCAATTAAATATTAATTAACAGACAGTGGCCACAAAGAAATGTTGCAGCAGCTGCAGCAGCTACTTGTTGCTCGCGCTGGAGGAAGGGGACACAGCATCAGAAGCAGCAAACTTGCACATAGCACTAATTCAAGATAAAAGGCAATTTGACGCTACATGCTGAACTCTACTAAACCTTAAACGCTTCAAAAGAGCCGGAAGCAGCAGCGGCAGCAGCGGCAGCTGCAGCTGCTGTTGGAACTGTCCCCCAGCTAGCTGCGGTAACAAAAACAGATGCTGTAGGAACTCCTTCATGTTGCCTGCGCAGCTGCAGCTGCTTGAAAAGCCCATTAGCAGATGCAGCAACCCCGTTACGCAGCAGCGGCGGCGGCAGCAGCAGCGGCTGCTGCTGCTTCAGATGCCGTTGCAGCTGAAAGCTGAACCCCCCTGTCGATGCATGCAACCGCAGGGGCTCTAACTCACGTGGGGAGGGTTAGCTAGCTCCCTACAGATGCCGCTGCTGCAGCAGTAGCTGATGATCACCAGGATTGAAGGCAGACAGCAGCAGCAGCAGCATTTGCATCTCATGAAGGCACCGTAACAGATTAAAGTTGCTGCTGCTGCTGCAGCATTAAGTATACATTCATTCTTGACAAGAAAAACAGAAAACAAGTTTGTCCTTAGCCAGTGTTCTGCATGGATCAGATGCAGAGCGGCAGCAGCACCAGCAGCAGAAGCAAGCCCAGCAGCCGAGGCAGCACATGCAGCAACGTGAGCAGAAACAACAGTAGCACAGGCTCTGATACTGCTGAAGTGTAGAATGCTGCAGCACCAGTTCTAGGAGCTGCAACGAGTACCCGCTGCTCCTGGTGCTGTTACTTCTCCTAATGATGCAGCACCACAAGCAGAGGCTGCAGCGGAAGCAGCAGCAGCAGCAGCAGCAGCAGCTGCAGGTGCATCAGCAGTAGCAAGTCTAGGCAGATGAGCCCCCTAAGGCCCCCCATGTGAGTCCCCATCTAAAGGAGAGAAACAAAGGAGACTTTAAAGGCAAAGACCGCTGCAACACCAACCACACCCAATCCCTACACAGCAACGGCAGCAACAACAGCAACATTGTTATTATTATTATTACTATCAATATTTGTGTTATTATTATTATTACTACTACAACTAGTGACGGCAGCAGCAACAAAAGCAGCAGCAGCAACATTAGCGGCTGCAACAGAAGCAGCAGCAGGAGCAAATAAGAATATAATAGCGCTTACAAGGACTGTTGTAGTCTTTCTGCTTCTACCTCTAAGATAAATCCGTCTCTTAGCAGCAACAGCGGCAAGCATGCGGGTTGCTTAACATAAGAACAGCAATAACACACATCCTGCTGCTGCTCCTCCTGCTGCCGCTGCTCCTGCTGCTGCTGCCGTTGCTGCTGCTGTTGCTGTTGTTGCTGATGCTGCCGTTGCTGTTGTAGTTGCTGGGGCTGTTGCTGCGGCTGTTGCTTATGGACGTCGGCGATGGCGTCGCAGAGGGCCCGCAGAGCGGCTTTGGCTAATTCTGCTGCTGCCGCCTTCAGGCAGCGCCTGCAGCAACAATAATAACAGCAGCAGCAGCAGCAGTGGCAGCAACAGCACAATAGCAACAGCAACAGCAGCAGTAAAGGTGCCTGTATTACCTCTTCCAATTTTTTTCCTTTGTTGTAAAGCCAACGCCAAAGAGGCTAAAAGCAACTCCTCGATACTCACAAAGAGACACCCAAACCTTTAATGCCTCCTCCACCACCTGCTGCTGTTGCTGTTGCCGCTGCTGCTGCTGTTGGTGCTGGTGCTGCTGCTGTTGGTGCTGCTGCAGACAAAAACAAGAGGCCACTCTTCTAAGGTTACTGCAGAAATAACGTAGAAAGCCCTATACTAGCATCAACAGCAGAGTTAGCAGCAAACACACAGCAAACCAGCAACAGTAGTAGCACCAGCAGTAGCACCGGCAGCTGGGTGATGCTATAGTGTGCGGTGCTGTAGCTCACTGCAGCAGCTGCCGGGCGCCGCAGCATTTGCAGCAAGGCCGCGTTCATCGTGGCGAGTACATCAGGGGTAGCTACTGTTGCTCCAGCAGCACTTGCTGCTGTTGGTGTTGTTGTTGCTGCTGCAGCTGATTTGCTGCTGTTTTGCCGCAGGAGCTGCACCAGCGGCTCGAAACCTGAAAGGTGCCCTAAGGCTAACAGCTGCCACACCGCACACAGCAGCAGCAACAGTATAACGTGGTTTATTCGCTGTTGTTGCATTGCCTCCCTAGCAACACCAGAAGAAGCCAGCTAAAGTAGCAGTAGGAGCAACAGCACCAGGAGCATACCTCCAGATGCTGTAGCTCTGTTGCAACTAGAACGAAGCCTTTTGGCGGCCCCACAACGGCGCCCACATCGAGCACTCCTACTGGAGGGAGCGAAACAACCTGCTGCTGCTGTTGCTGCTGCTGCGCTCCTTGGCGCCAGGCGGCAGGCCTCAAAGGCGCCTGCAGTCGAAATAAAAGCGATGTAGGCAGCAACAGCACCCCATCAGCTCCTCCTTCTGAGCTGGTTCCTGCATGTGCTTCTGTGGCTGCTGCTGTTGGTGCTGGCGCTGCTGCTGCTGTCGGCGCCGCTGTTGAGCAGCTGCTGTGAGTTTTGTACAGTTGAACTGCTGCTACAAAGGAAATGGGGATATGCGGCGATTTTAATGCCTGCTCTTGTTGCTGGTGTTGCCGGTGTTGCTGCTGTTGTTGCTGTTGCTGCTGTTGCTGTTGCTGTTGCTGTTGCTGTTGCTGCTGCTGTTGCTGCGGCTGTTGCTTGTCTGTGTTGCCGAGTTGCGCGGTGGTCCGATGGATCCACAGAAGCTTGCCCTTCCGGATACATGTGCTGCTGCCGCTGCCGTTGCAGCTGTATTTGCTACTGCTGCTGCTGCTGCACTGCTGCAACGCTGCAGGGTGGATGTAGACTTCGAGGCTTTTTGTGGAGACGCCGGGAGGAAATTCTTGCCGCTGCGTCCCACGTTGCTGCTGCTGCCTTTGCTGCTGGTGTCCCCTCGTTAGGAGAAGCAGGAGGAGAGCATCAGTGGAGTTCCTCTGTCGTGCTGCTGCTGCTGCTGCGGTCGTAGCTGAGTGGCGTTGCATCCGCAGCATCAGCAGCAGGAGCTCTTCCTGCAGTGTCTGTTGCTGCACGCTGAGAAGAGTTTGGCGTGCCTCTGCGGCCTCAGCAGTAGCAGCGGTATTACTAGCAGCAGCAGCAGCAGCAGGTTGAATTGCCCCAGGCAGTCGCAGAGAGACCTTCCATCCTGCTGCTGCTGCTTCCGCGTGGAAGACACGTAGCCGAGGAAAAACAAGAGGCCGAAAAGCTCCGTTTGCCTGTTGCTGCTGTTGCTGCTGCTGCTGCAAATGTTGTTGCTGCTGGTGTTGCTGCCGTTGCTGCGGTTCGTGGTGGTCCGAGGCTGCGCACAAGGGGTGATGCAAGCAGCAGCAGGTAGCAGCAGCTGCTGCAGCAAAGACACCTTCACCACCTCCGTACGGAGATGCCACAGGTGCTGTTGCAAAGGCGGCAGCAGGAGATGCTGCTGCTGCTGCAACACAAGCAATTGCTTGCTGCAGCGGCAGCAGCGTCGTATAAGCACACAATATCCACGCCAGGGGATGCTGAAACTGCAGCCGGCGCAGCAGAAGTGGGACCTGCAGCAGCAGCACATTCTAGGTTAACGCAATAGTTGCCTGTAGCAGCAGCAGCACCAGCACGACAGGCAACCGCGGCAGAAAGACATTGGACCCTGGAACGTACATCTTGCGGGCGGAGCGGGTCTTGGGAAGAGTACAGCAACAGACCAGTGCTGCTGTCACTGCTGCTGTTATTATTATTGATGTTGCTACTGGTGTTGCTGCTGGTGCTGTCACTCAAGAGCAGCTGCAGCACCTCCGGGACCTGCAACAGCACAGCCCTTAGCGCTGCTGCATCCGACAGGACAAATGGGCGACCCAGAAGCCGTGTTGCTGCTCCCTGCATGCAGCAGCAGCAAACACAAATGTGGGGAGATCATATGGCTGCTTTTGGCACTGCAGGTGTTTCTACTGCTGCTGCAGCAGAAGCCTCACCTGCAGAAGCTCTAGGCATATCGCCCCCCGCTCCACCTGCTGCTGCAGCGGCTGCAGCAGCAGCGGCAGGCCTTGGTGCTGCATCCGCATAAGGGGGAGGGTGAGAGGATATTCGAGGTGCGTGTACACCTGAAACAGGTTTGCGTCTGCTAGCTGCTCACCCATCACCTTCAGCAGCACCAGCAGCAACAGCAGCAGCAACAACAGCAACCGCAAAATATATATATATATATACACACACACACGCACACACACACATATATATATATATATATATATATA